TGCCTTACCAAGTTGGGGGTCAGTGCTAACGAGGCTAATTTAATTAGCACTGACCCCCCCCTCCCCACACTTGGAAAGGCAACTCCCATCTTTTCATGTGCTATATATTTATACCTACTTTTTGTATTTTCCACTCCATGCGTCTGATGAAGTAGATTTTAGTCCACGAAAGCTTATGCCCAAATAAATTTGTTAGTCTCTAAGGTGTCACAAGTACTCCTCATCCTTTTTTTTTTTTTGGTGTGGAAAATGTTAATAGTTACAGCAGTCTGCAAAGTATATGTGATATGCTCCAGCCTTGTATTAATTGAGACAATTTACTTTTATAACCACATTCACATACTCTCCTTCACACACAGACAGACACAGAAAGACACAACCAGGGCCCAATTATTCCCTAAGATATGCAGACACAACTCCTACAGAAGTCAAAGGGAGTCAGATGCATACATTTGGGGTTGGAAATTGACCCAAAAGGACAGAGTGTTTTCAAAATCTAGTCTATTTTTCCTTATGAAAAATGGGATGGGCATGATAATGATGTTAGTTCAGCAAACAAGGAATGAAGGACAAAAACAACAAGGAGTGATGGATGATCCCTTTTTAATAAACAAAAGGAAATTGATATGTCTTTGAGAACCATGCTCCCAAGGTGCAGCATTAGATACAATGCTGGAGGCTTAATTAACACATCACAGAATTATAGCTGGGAATAGAATCTTAGAAACATAGAAATGTAGGGCTGGAAGGGCCCTTGAGAGGATATCTAGTCTGGTCCGCTATGCTGAGGCAGAATCAAGTATACCTAGACCACACCTCACAGGTGTCTGTCTAACCTGCGCTTAAAAACCTCCAGTGATGGGGATTCCACAACCTCTCTTGGAAACTGTGATACTTTATATGAACATTATATCATTGTTGCACAACTGCACTAAACCCTATATAAAGTATGTCATGTAAGATATCAGTGGAAAAGTTGTGATCTAAGTACAATAATCTTGTTTGTATGTATGTAGTATCTTTGTCTCTGACGTTATGAATATTTGCTATATATTAGTATCTCAAACATGTGTTGTGTTCCTGGCTGACATCCCTCAGACAAATTTACATTCGGACTAGCCATCACTGGTTGATGGGTCATCCATGTGATGATGGGCCATTAAGGGAAATCAGCTTCTCAATGAGTCTTCTTGCATGCCTCAGATAGCGTTGAGCTAAGGACATGCAATGAGAACATGTGATCCATCTTTTACCAGTAACTTTCCATACTCATGTGACCCTGGACTCCATCTTGGGCCAATAACTTTCCATACACCTAGGCTGAAGGTATATAAGTGGAAGCTGTCACATCACTGCTTGGTCTTCATTTCTGCTTCTCATCTCTGGACTGTAATTTTCTAAGGAGGCTTTGAACAAGGAACTGAATGACTCCCAACCTGCTTGGGTAAAAACAGAGAGACTTTTTCACAAATTAGCAGATTTAACATTAGCATTTATCATTTATCATTTAACAATTGATCACTATCCTCTTTATAACATCCCTTGACATATTTGAAGACTGTTATCAGATCCCCCTCAGTCTGCTTTGCTCAAGACTACACTTGCTCAGATTTTTTTAACCGTTCTTTATGGGTCATATTTCCTAAATCTTTAATCATTTTAGTTGATTTCCTCTGGAGTCTCTCCAATTTGTCCTCATCTTTCCTAAATGTTGGTGCCCAGAACTAAGCAAAGTACTTCAGCTGAGGCTTCACCAGGGCCAACTAGAGAAGGATAATTACCTCCCATGTCTTACTCCTGTTAATACACCTCAAAATGATATTAGCCTTTTTTGCAATTGCATCAGATTACTGGCTTATATTCAGTTTGCGGTCCACTATAATCCCCAGAGTTTTTTCAGCAGTACTACTGCCTAGACAGTTATTCCACATTTTGTATTTGTGCATTTGAATTTTTCTTTTCTAAATGTAGTAATTTGCACTTGTCTTTATTGAATTTTAGCTTGTTGATTTCAGACCAATTCTTCAATGTGTCAAGGTTGTTTTGAATTCTAACCTGTTCTCTAAACTTCTTGCAACCCCTTTGAGCTTGATGGCATCCACATATTTTATACACATACTCTGCATTCCAGGATGGGTAGGGATGGTGTCCCTAGCCTCTGTTTGCCAGAAGCTGGAAATGAGCAACTGGGGATGGATCACTTGATGATTACCAGTTCATTCCCTTTGAAGCACCTGGCATTGGCCATTGTCAGAAGACAGGATACTGGGCTAGATGGACCTTTGATCTGATGCAGTATTATGTTCATTATCCAAGTCATTAATGAAAATATTGAATAGTACCAGACCCAGGACAGACCCCGGTGGGACTGCACTAGATATACCTTCCCTGTTTGACAGTGAACTATTAATAAATACTCTTTGAGTTTGGTCTTTCAACCAGTTATACATCCACATTACAGTAATTAAATCAAGAACACATTGCCATAGTTTGCTTATAAGATTGTCATGTGGGACTGTGTCAAAAGTCTTACTAAAATCAAGATATGTCTACTGCTTCCCCTTATTCACTAGGCCAGTAACCCCGCCAAAGAGGGAAATTAGGTTGGATAGGCATGATTTGTCCTTGACAAATCCATTTTGGCTATTACTCATTACCTTATTATCCCCTAGGTGGTTACAAGTTGATTGTTCAATAATTTGTTCCAGTAACTTTCCAAGGATCAAAGCTAGGCTGAGTGGTATATAAATTACTTGGGTCCCCTTTGTTCCCCTGTTTAAAGAGATAGGTAGTGTGTTTGCCCTTCTCCAGTCACCTGGGACCTCAGCCATCCCCTCCATGAGTTCTCAAAGATAACCACTAATGGTTCAGAGGTTGCTTCAACTAGTTCTTTAAATACCCTAGGATGATTTTCATCAGGCCTTGCTGACTTGAATACATCTAACTTACCTAAATATTCTTTAACCTGTTCTTTCCCTATTCTGGCCCATGTCCCTTCCTTCTTCTTAATATTAATTGTGGTATTAATACCACAATTTTTAGTGAAGACTGAGGCAGAATAGTCATTAAACACCTCATTCTTCTTCATCTCATCTGTTATTACCTCTCTTTCCCTGCTAAGTAGAGCATCTACACTTTCCTTTGTCTTTCTCTTGCTCCTAATGTATTTATAGAACCTCTTCTTATTGCCTTTTTTTATGTCCCTTGCTAGGTCTTAACTCATTTTGTACCTTAGCCTTTCTGATCTTGCCCCTATATGCCTTTTTGATTTTGTCCCTATCTACTCTTCTTTTGTACTCTTCCTTAGTGAATTGTCCTTGTTTCCACTTTTTGTAGGCTTCCTTTTTGATTTTCAGGTCATTAAAGAGCTGAAGCCATATTGGCCTCTTACTATTCTTCCTGTTTTTCCTTTGTGATAGTTTGCAGTTGTGCCTTTAATACTGTCTTTTTGAGAAACTGCCAGCTCTCCTGAACTCCTTTTTCTTTTACATTTTTCTTCCCGTGGGACCTTACCTACCAATTTGTCAAAGCTGCTTTTTTTCAATACCATTTTCCTGATTCTGTTGCTCTCACTTCTTTCTTTCCTTCAAATCATGAAATTGCCTCCTACCTTCAGATTCTCAACCAATTCCTCCCAGTTTGTCAGGGCAGGTCTACACTACGGCAGGGATTGACGTTCTGAGATCAAGCCACTGGCGGTCAATTTAGCGGGTCTAGTAAAGACCCACCAAATCGACTGCATATCGCTCTCCAGTGGACCCCTGTATTCTACCCCCGACGAGAAAAGTAAGGTCAGTCGATGGGAGATTTTTTCCCATCAACCCCCTGCGGTGTAGACCCACGGTAACTCGAGCTAAGGTACGACAACTCCAGCTACGTTATTCACATAGCTGGAGTTGCATAGCATAGGTCGACTTACCACAGTAGTGTAGACATAGCCACAGAATCAAGTCTAAAATGGCTCTCCTCCTGGTTATGTCTTCCACCTTCTGAAAAAAGAAATTGTCCCCAATTTATTCCAAGAACTTCTTGGATATTTTGTGTTTTGCTGTTTTACTTTTCCAACCAATGCCTGGGTAGTTAAAGTCCCCCATCACAACCAGGTCTTGTGTTTTGGATATTTGTGTTTTGATTTTGAACATATCCAAAACATCCTCCTCCTGATTATGTGGTGTGACAAAGTCAGACCGGACAGCTTTAAGAGACTGGCGGAAGGCAGGTATGTCAGCCCTAGACTGGTAAAGGGCCTTATCCCCAGGAGCTGAAAAGAGGTTACCTCAGGTCAAATAGGGACACCCGGGTCCAATAAGAGCTGCCTGTGACCTTTAAAACCCCTCTTCTGGTGAGGGAGGGAAAGAAAAGCTGCAACAGGGCTAGTGGCAGCAGAGAGAAAAGGCTTCTTTTGGGTGGAAAGCTCCTCGCCTCCCTATAGGGGAATCAGCCAACCTAACTGCCTTTGTGGGGAAGAACTGGTACCCCAGAGCCAGCATAAAAAGGCAATACCCCCAGATAGGGGACAGGGAAAGGTATTCCCTTTTTGTGTTATGAATTTGTTTCTTTGGTTTGGCTGAAGAGTGCTCCATTGGCCAACCCTGAGACCCACCTTGTAAAGTATTGAAAAATAAAACCTGAGTAAGGAATAAAAACTCTCTGGCACAGGACTAATTTACTCCAGCTCCTCCTCTCCCCCACCACCAGAGGGGGAAATGCTAAGCCTGGTGAGGCAAAGGTGGTGCTTTGCCATGGTTGACCCCCTACCATGACATCATTCCTGTCTTTTTTCCTTCTTATCTTCACCCAGAGACTTCAGCTAGTTTGCCACTCATCTCCTTGTGGACTTCAGAACTAGTATATATATCATTGAGATATAATGCAACACCTTCTTTCTTTTTATCCTGCCTGTCCTTCTTGAACATTTTATATCCCTCTATACTGATATTTAACTCATGAGATGTATCCCACCAAGTCTCAGTGATGCCAGCTAAGTCATAAGTTTTGTACTAATATTTCCAATTCTTCCTGTTTATTTCCCATACTCCTTGCATTTTTGTACAGAAGTCTAAGATGTTGAGAAGACTTCCCAACTGTTTCCCCTCTTGTTGCCCCTATTACCCTATTGCAATTTTCCATTCCCCCCACAATCTACCCCGCTCTTAAAATTGCCTTTTTTATATCTACCTGTGTGCTTTTGTCCCTGCCCCCTTTGAAACTTATTTAAAGCCCCCCTCACTAGGCTAGCAAGTAGGTATATGTGCGATGGGATGTACAACCCCCAACACAGTGGCACACCAGCTTTTGAGTCACTTTGCCACAGTGTCCAATTATGACCCAAGAACCTCTTCAGCCAACTGACAAGAGGATACAGAGCAGTACATTTATCTCCTGATTCATATGTACACCCTGGTTCACCAAAGCACGTCATGTGAGGTCTCAAATGAAAGCAGGTTTCACGGTGGCCATTAATATAATTGTGAAATGTATGTATAGGTACTATTAAGGAGCTATGTATCTGCACCAGAAAATTATGTTCTTAAGTATGTAAGTTAGAAGCAGGTCATCAAAAGCTGACATGTCTTTCACTGGTTCTTCCAGACAGGAGGCAAGAAACGTCTCTCCATCTGTCGGGATGAAAATGAAATATTATAAGCTAATACAATGGATGTCATTTACCTATGAAGGCAAATGTTAACTAAATTGTGAAGTCAACAGGAAAGGAGCACACAAGAAAAAATAAGCCACGGGGGTTACCCTATCTATAAGTAAAGACAATGTAGTTTGGAGCTATTTCTAGAAGGCAAAGAAGACTCCCACAGAATCCTGCACCTAAGAAGTAAATGGGCAGCACATTTCCATGCATGAAAGTAGGGTCATAGCCAGCACCGGTTGAAAATGCTACAGAGGAATTTGGGTGAGTTAAGCTTCTTTAAACAGAAGATTAACCTGTTAGTTAAGTTTAGTCTCGAAAAAAGTGTTATTTTGTTTTATATGTAATATTATCTGAATCTCTAGTCTTTGATTATAAGCTTATTCTTGTTTTCGCTGTAAGTATACCTCAGTGCTGTGGTGTTAAGCAAAGTGCTGGTCCTGAGTTGAAACTTACCAGCTGGTGTGGACCGTTCCTTTGGGAACAGCAGGCCTGGTGATTCTAAGTATTCAGTGAATAAGGGGCTGGACACTGCCAGGAATGCTCCAAGTATTTGGGGGTTGATGTGTGCCTTTCACTACCTGTACAGAGACCTCAAGGTCCGTGGAGGCCTGGAACACAGTGCTTGTGCTTCCAGAGACTGTTGATTTCAGGGCCCTGATCCACACCAAGCACAGACAAGACTCGTTCATGCTAAGGGCAGGACAGTGTAACACCAATATAGTACATTAGAAGATAAAAGAAGATACAAGAAACACTGTAAATAAAAGAAAATCAGGCCCAGTTTTGCCT